ATAAGTAATTAAATTCCAAAGTTTAACGCCTTTAGATCACATTACGAGAGAGATTATTTTTGAAGATGTATTTATAAAAATAAAATTGTTATTATCATTCACAGTTAAACGAACTTTCTCACTGTAATTTATTTAATTTCTATTCATTGTTCCATTTTAAAAATAAAATCTCTTCCTGTTTAATACTTGAACACCCTATTGCTCTTTTGTTGTTTATTATCGCACTTTTCCATCAAATTCTCCTTAAAACAATTTTAATAAGTTAGAAACTAGTTCATCACTTATGAATTCATTTTCAAAATTATTAAAACAAGGGTTTTCAGCATTAAAAAAAAAAACCTTGGATGTGAACACAAAAACAAGATAAAGCGTTCCGTATTTGTGCAGCGTAAAATAACCGAAATTTTTATAAAAATAGAACAAATTAATATGAAAAGAAAACCGTGAGAAACTTCGACGCTTTAACACCCTCTCAAAAAGAAACACCCAAATTTGAAAAGAAAAAAATAAAAATACACCCAATTGAAGTTTTAAACATGCTTTTTCATAATTTATTTTCCTTATAATTTTTTTATTATTTATCTATTTGTGTTTACATAGTTATTCACGAGTAAAATAGAATTAAAAAATTAACTGTTTTTTTTTTTAAAAGAATTCTGAAATTCCATAAAAATTGAATGAAGTATTTTAGAAAATTGAAAAAATTCTAATCATGTGTAAGTGCTAGTTCGCACATGATTAGAATTTGAGCCAGCGATTGAAATTTGTTTGAACTAGCACATCGTTAACTCAAATATATTAGGATGAAAATTGGTGCAAATTTATTTAATTACTTGATTACTACAATGTTGTTAAATAGATACACTATTATAATTATATTAATGATTATTTTTTGGTTTAAATTTAGTTAAATAAGGAGCAATATTTATCTATATAATAAAATATTTTATTTTTTCTAATTTACGTTGGAAATTTAATATATATACGTATATATGATTTTTTTTATTTGGATCAATAAAGATTTTTAGTATTTCTTTCATGTTTAGATCTCTCTGATCAGAAATATATATAATCATATTATAAGAGTATTAGAAATTTAAATAAATTACATTTTTTTTAAAATTAGTGTAAACGATTTAGCATTCTAAATCTTAATTCATTTCAAAACTTAAGTTTTTGAAAAAGTTCACTCGCAAACTGAAAATTTTATTTTTATATTAAGAAACTTTTCATGAAGAAAAGAAATTTGGAAAAAATTGAACAATTCTTTCAAAGAATTTGTGTTTTTATAAGAGAATAAATTTATTAAATTTTATTGTACAAAAAAATTTTTAAATTGAAATACGTCTCTAATTAATTATACAGTATTAATTATTCGACATCAGGGAACAATGGAAAAATATTGCAACTTTTAAATTAATAGCTAATTCGAAGTTTATTTATTTTAAATAAGTAATTCATTTTACTAAATTCATTTATATGTAAACAGTAAAATAAGTTATTTTATAAATTTCATTTGTAAAATATTAACAAATTTAAAAACTTGTTTAAAATTTCGTTAGAAAAATCTTAAAATAATTATGTTTAATAGAGTTTCGAAGTTGAAATAATTTTAATAACGAAATAATGTAGGCCTACAAAAATATCTGTAAATATTAAATATTTTACAGAATTTCCATGAAAGTATAAAACATTTTACGAATAGACATATTTTACAACTGCATTATGTCCATTTGTATACAGTATTCATTACAGTATTAAAATACAGTAGGCCTAATTAAAAAAAAAATTCGTGTATTTTAAATTATAACGATCAAATCTAATTTTAAAGAAATAATTAGCTCAAATTTCGTTTCAATATTTTGAAAAATGGCAAATATTTACAGATATTTAAATCGTTGTAGCATCTCTAAAATAAAATAAAAACTTTCCGATTATTTTGGTAAAAGAACTATAATATTCCTTTATATTGAAATCTAATTTTGTCTCATTAAGTAACGATAACCATTTATTATCAATTATAATCATGCTTATCGTTTAAATACTAGAAATAAAGTATAAGCTATATTAAGCTTTAAGTTATAAGCGGGTGAATAACCTAAGAAAATATAAAAACCACAAACAGATCAATCAGAAAGAAAAAGTATTTAGCCGTAACATCTGCTCCATAATGCACAATCAGGACGCAAAATACCCTTGGGCTGCGACAAAATTATCTTAGCGTGTTTGAATATGACGTAAATGTGTCAGGAAAAAGATAAAGAATACAATTAACTATTTATATTGTACATCTGCATGATCTCTGCTCAAAATTTCTATAGATATTATATGGCATCTTCGACGGGAATTCGTGTTAAATATTAGTTTGACATTAAAAACTGACAATCAAATTGGTAGTAACAGGAAAAATCCTTTAATTATTTAAGTTACAACTTTATTTATTTCTTTCATTTGATTCAAAAACAACATAAATTTTACTGTCCATGAAAGTATTTTATTTCTTTCTTATAATATACTCGTATAGATTTATATATTTTTACTCGAGCACGATAAATTCATTAGAAAAGTTTATAGTTATTCTAGCATAGTTATGATAATCCACGACTTATCCTTGTTCTAATAATAATCATTACAACGAAGATCTGACTCTAAACTGCTAACATGAATTTTAAATGGGGAATGAAATATTTGATTGAGCTTTATAACGAGTTAAATATAAATCTAAATCCTTTGTTCACTGTAAGTTTTTTTATATAAAAAGTTACGATAAGAATATAATTCATAATCATTTCTTATCATCTATCTACAATGGACACGATAGCTTTGTTTAAAAAAGTTCCAATTAAATTATAATTGATCTCAAACTGAATGAGAATAAACTAAGTTATTAATCTTTTAAGATAATATATAAAATATTTGATTTTTTAAATAATTTTAATTAAATAATTTAAATATTCTAATTTTAATTGGTATTTATTATAAAATTAAAGTTATAGTAGTAGGACTTAATAGCACAAGTGCCTTTTATTGTGGCTAAATTACACCAAGCAATTGGTAGATATAAAAATATAAAATTAAGAATATTATAAGTAATATTGTATATTATATATATATATATATATATAAAGTAGTATTAAGAATGGATTAATTTTAAAGAACATCTTTATGATAAATGAACATTTATATTTTTTATATATAAAAAATTAAAACCATTAAATAATTTAAAAAAAATTTTTTTTGTGCTAAAAGTAATTATCAGTTTTTTAAACTTTTTTTTTAAAATACTATTTTGGTATTTATTTGATATTGTTTATTAAGATTTCTGTAGATTTCCTTTTGTTATTCGATTTTCAGAGCGGAACTTCTAAAGTAGGAAAATTCGGAAAAAACGTTTTTTATAGTTAAAATTTATGTCTAAAAATTTAGGATATCGTATCACATATCAATAGATAAAGTCGTAATTAATAATTTTATTTTATAATCTTTATAAAGAAATTTAAAAATAAAAAATTTTTTTTAAAGATAAAATTTTGAATCTATCATTATAACTGATTTTAAAAATTCTTTTCTCTAATTAAAAATAGAATTATTATTATTTTGAAATGTTCTTAAGCTTGAAAAATATGTATTTAAAAAAAAAAATCTAATTATATTAATGCATTTTATAAGTATGAAAGTCTGGACTTAAATATAGAGAAACTAGACAAGAGTTCGGACCTGACAATTTATAAATCGATTTATAAATTCACTTATAAATAAATTAAATTTAATGTTTTGTATATAGCATATTTTTAACTTTTCCAAAACGATTCAGTAAATGGAATAAACAAAATTAGAAATCTTTTCTGGAAATTGCGGACCAAAATGTTTGCTTAAAGCACAAAAATTTCTTTAATCTGGCACTGGTATAAAATTTAATTAATTTACATAATTTAAAGCTTCTTATATAAAATTTCCATTTTCATTTGAGATGAAACTAAATAGGACAGTAAACTAAAAGAATTTAAATGCTAAGAAAACCGCTTTCTACATTAAAAATTTAATGAAACAGTAAAAGGAAATTTTTCTATAAAAAATGTTAGTGATGTTATGTTAAACAAAGGAAAATTTTTTAAGAAAACATTAGAAAGAAGAGGTTAATGCTCAACAATCTAAATTCCTCATACAAGATGATTCGAATTATAGGAAAAAAATTCTAGATGAATCTCTAGATAACTTTTCCGAATTTACAGAAGAAAAAAAAAAAGAAATCATTAAATTTGATATGTAAAAATAGAAAACATTTTTTCCGCTTTTTGATTTGTAAACAGTTAAAAAGGGAAAAAATCATTTTCACGAGGAAGTACAAATCCAAGTATAAATCTTTATCCACTGATTGAAAAAAAAATCAATAACTTTCTAAATTAATAAATTTAGTAGCATGAAACTACATAAAACATTTTAAAGGTCTTTTTTTCAGTTAATGTTTCAGTTAATAATCCAAATAAAATATCACAAATGTTTCCAATAATAATCTATAAACAGATGTATATAAAATATTACAAAAATACTAAGAAATATAATAGTCAGATGAAAATATAATTCGGTATAAAATGAGTAAATAATACCTCCATACAATATAAAAATATATTGTATAAGGTTATTTTGAATACTTAATTATTCGAGATTCATCATTTTATGTAAAGATTGTGTAAGATGATAAATCTTCTGTAAATCTTAAACGAGTGGTTTATATTACATATTTATGACAACCATTCAAAATAATTATCTTTTAATCATTTTTATTATATCTACTGATAACATGAGCATTCAGAATATCACATTAGTTGTAGAAGACTTTTTCGCATGGTTAAATATTGCTCTAAACTAGAAATTTTTTAAAATTCAGAGGTGTTTTTAGAAATAAATAAAATATTTATTTTGATTATTAATAATTTTAAGTACGTTATCATAAAATATAAGATTTAATGGGCCCTAAGAGGGTCTTTTTTTTTCCATAGTAGCTTGACGTATCCGGGACAAATTACTACGAAAAATTCTTGGAGTTGTTCGTCCTGATGCGGTCCCGGGTTCTCAAAATGGTAGGCTAGTCTCTTCGGCAACCCGAGCCTAATTAATCATGATTAACGATTAATTAGGCTCGTTTTAATTAACTAAAATATCGTTATTTATAATGCATCTAGAGAAATTATTCGCTGTAATAGTATAATATAGTAATTGATGGTGACAAATTCGAATTTATTAAATAATTTAATCACGATATAACAAGATTATGATTATGCGAGAGTCCCTGGAGCGCTAAACCCAATGGGTCCAGCGCTTCAGGGGCTCTCGCACTGAAAATATTCCTTCGCAGGGTAGACACCTCTGCGAAGGAATATTTTCAATCTAAAAAGGAAATTTTAACAGTTTTGTTGTTGCTTGTTTTTGTTAATGATTTCAATTGCACATCAATTGCACATGTATTTGTCAAGACCTTGCTTGGTATTATTTGATATACTTTAATGAGAAATCTTTAGTTCAATATGTAATTTTTAAATTGTCAGTATCATGTACAGTACTGTACAGTACATAAGCTTAAGTTTTATAATTGTTTATATTGGAAATATATGCTTTATAAGAGATATAACATCCAAATATGAGATATCCAAATATAAATAGATATAAATATCTAAATATAACGTTTATCTAATTTAACTAAATTAACTTGTATACTTTTGTAGTTAAATATTTTAACTTTGAGATTTAAAATATTAATACTGTATATTCATTTCAAAATTATGATTTGCAGTGAGTTACAATGACGTACAGAAAATGGGATAAATTAAATATAAATTACTAAAACAATATTTTAAATGAATGGATTCATTTAAATTATTGGGAAAATGGGAAAAACCAAATTCTTAATATTAAAGTAATCCGTGAAAATTTACCAGATGTAAATAAATATTTCGCTGTTCCAATTTATAAGGAAGAAAGTAAAAACTTAAGGAAGATTTAACTTTTGCTTTAGAATGATTTTAATTAAAAGAAAAAAAACAGAAAATAATTTATACACTGCGTTATATAATGTCATTGACATAAATCTTCAAGTTGAAATAAAATTATAACAATGATGCCTTTTTTTGTAATATATATAATATATAAGTTAATATATTTACATTAGAATTATTCATATGAAAAATACAGTTTCAAAAATAAAGTTAAAAATTTTATTTTAGTTATTGTTAAAGAAATTATTATTATTTTTTAAAATTTAAACGGTTAAAACTTCAAGAAGTCATACTACCTTCTGTTAGTTATACTTGATAAGTATTGATTCAGTTATTGATAAAAATAAATAAATATCTTTCTTTAGAAACGGCTAGTTCTTAAATAAATAAATAAATAAAGGTTGAAATTATAATTTAATAGTTGCTGTAGGTAATATGTAATCATAGCTCCGAGTGTTTATTGTTTAAATATATAATTCAACCTGTTTGTTACGTTAGTTAACTCCATATAATTTACTAATTTTCAAACATGTATGAAATAATTGTTTTTATCACTCACTTCTTGCTCTATTTCATCAATTTCATTAAGCATTAATTTAATTATTTTTATTTCTGTAGTCATTATGATATCTTATTATGTTTTGAAGTCTTAAATAATTTAAGTTTGTTGCTAACAACAAGAAGAGAATAATAATAATTTATAGTTTTGGAGAATACAAATATACAGTATTTGAATTTAATAATGCATCTGTGGATGTAACTGTTATCTGTTTACAGAAAATATTTTAGGTATTATAGCCCCAATAATTTTTAAAGTAATTCTAAATTCTAAAGTGAATTTTATATTAAATTTTAATTATATATGTACGGATTTAAACACTATTCAATTTAATTTTGCATTGCATTAGTTTTTGTATTTTCATTTAGATAAAATGAGAGAATATATAATATAAAAAGTTTCTGTTTTAATCAAACTTTTCTCTCTCTTGTATAATTATAAATGTCAGAAACACGACCAGCATTTTGTAATATCGTACATGAATGCCTGAATGAATCTGAAAATTAAATTGATAATTTCCTTAAATTTTTTATTTTTAAATTTGTTTTCCTTTTTATGTAATGTTTTTATAATTGATTTAATCAATGGTTAACCTAATATGATATAATACGGGATCCATACCATAATTGAGAAGATTAATAGACATTAAGACATTTCAAAATATTTCTTCCAGTGTTTTTGAAAAAAATTCAAACTTTTAAATAAATTAATTAATTTTTAACAGATAAACTGATAAACTTATATTCAAACATTGTTATAACTCATAATTGTAGATTTGAATTTAAATATGCTGCATTAAATCAAATGTATTAAACAATGATAAATTTTTATGTCATGATTAAAACCTGAACAATTTAGAGATTATCCAAATGCATTATGAAATTCGATGTAATGATTGAAAAAAAAAATATTTTCACTTCCCATTTTGTGCAATTTTATAAGAAAATTAAGTGTAATAAGGTGTGGCTACTGTTTTTCATTTTATCAATAAAACTGATAGTTTACGACCTGAATTCTTTGACGTACATAAATCTTGGATTAAAATCTAATAACATGGAGAAAAAAGCTTGTCTGATGAGGTGTTTGTCCCACACCCTGCAGCACCTAGTGAAGAACTACTCTAACACAAAAATTTGAATTTTACAAAGAAAAAAAAAGCCGAAACTTCTTTTTAAGTAAATGACGTAATGTTAAATCAGATTAAATTTTCGACTGAACAGAAATTGGGACGTGGCCATGCACTAGTAGTTGTTCTCCCTGGAAACATATTTTACACGATTGTTTATAATTTTGGAATGAGATCCATCGTCCACGGATGGCCAATTGGGTATTACAACAAATGGACACCGACTGTGCATACGTTTCGGATGGTTTATTCACTTTTTCTTTTTAAGTATCTTCCAATGGTTCACTTTTATCCTGTGGTGTATCATTAATAAAATTTCTAGTGTGTTGAAAGTAAGAACTAAAGTGAAACTTCGCATCGCTATCACACCTAAACCGTTAAAGACTTTAAATTGTTTATAAAGATTTCGTTGTTGTTAAATGTATAATATATAGTATTTATTTATACGCAATATTCTAAAGAATTAATATATTCTTAAATACAGTAAATATTTTATGATTAGAAGTTTACAAAATACTACTCAGTTAAACTTCTACATTTTGGAATTTATGTAAGAATCTAATTAATAACTTTTATTCGTGACATAGAAATCTAATTTAATTAATTTTTCACTTCCTTTATTAATTTATATTCATATTCCTATATTGAACATCTGCTTTATTAAAAATATTTTTATATGCAATTTTTTAAAACAAATTTAATTATTATCTGTCTGAACATTATTTAAGACAAATTACAATAATAATAGAGCTAAGTTATTAAAAAAACACTTTATAAGTAGGGTAGTATTGTGGTCATAATACTGTATATAATAGCTCAACTAATTATTTAGCAGATCGACCACAATGAAAATGAAGAACAATGAATTCAGGCCATTCTCCCTAAGTAATAAACGGAAGTTAACGGTAAATTACCTGTTTGAATTTAAATATTTTACTCTCAATTTAGTTTTATTTTAATAATTTCAAAATTATAGGGAAGTGAAGAAAAGAATCAAAGGATTTTTTTACTGACGTTCTCGTGAGTGAGTTTTTTTTAAAAATGAAGTTATTAATTTTCCTTAATTAAATTGGTCAACTGATGTTATCGATTAAAACATTGCGTGAAATGGAATGTGAGAACTTTCATTATATTTACAAAAGTATTTTTTTAAAATTAGGACAATGAAAAACGAAAATAACAAGTTGAAACACGATTCAAGTATACAGTAGTTTATTCATCTAAACCAGTAATGAACATCAATACATTTCTTAAAACTAATTTATTTATTTAATACTCATAATAATAAAATATTTATATTATTTTGTTAATCCAAGTGATTCATATTATGATTACAAAATCAGATGTAATTTCTTAAACCTAAATATTTTATATCTTGTTACTGATTTAAAATTCAGTTATTTTAACTAACTCGTACTTTAAAAAATTGAGAAATGTTACTACTGTATTTTTAATAATTTAGATTAATTTAAAAATCTAAACAAACAATAGTCATTATTTAGTTTAGGCTTTCCAAAATATATTTTTTATTATTATTATTTTATCATAATGCACGCAATCTAATTAACTTTCGTTCAATTATTTAAATTAAATTGTGCAACAGCATTCTATGACTCATTAAGATTAGATTTAAATCGGCTTTAGCACTGAAATCTAATCTCCGAATAAATGTTAAGTTACGTTAAGAAAATTACGATATGGATCAAATGATTTTAAATTTTATTTAGGAAGATTTTAACACTGTAATGTAGTCTATAGCTGCAAAAATCCGCTTTCGAATCCCATTCCAAATTCGAATCGTATGTTCATTCCTAATGTTTTACTGGACGCTCACATTGCGGGTCTGGCGATGTTCAAAAATAGNTTCAATGAATCTAAATTTAGAACTATAGTTTTCAAGATTGATTATTTTAAATTAATGAATTTCTAGCTAATACAGTATTGCTGTTTTAAATTTGTTTACAACAAAAGCTAAAACCTCAAACAGTTATTGTTAGAGAGATTTTTTTTTTTTTGGTTTCGAAATAATTATATTCCTTGGTAATATATAATTTTACTTCAGGATCTGGTTTAGGACAAGCCAAATTTAAATTTTGAATCCTCTTGTTTCAGAAAAAAAAGATAACATCAGAAAATAGTTGTTTGCAAAATAAATGATAAAAATATTCATTTTGTAAATCTAGTAGAATAATAGAAACGTTTCGCTTGATATAAAAAGTGGTCAACAATGAAAAAGATCTTTTTAAAAGTTTCAAAATTTGTAACAGTGCCCTAGATTAAAAATCTCGATGGTCGTCCATCCATTTCTACTTTTCATCTCAACTGGAACTTGGTCAGAATATTGTAAAACTTTCTCCAATTTTTAAATATTTTAAATGAAACTGTTACTTGCAAATTAGATTATTTCTCAAAATTTGCCTGGATAGTTAAATAGATCACTACTCAGATTCGAATTATCTGTAGTACAGGTATTTATAGATAGATGCAAAAATGCCTTTCTATTTCTTTTGAAATAAAGGAAATAAGTTGAATATCTTTTTATTTTTATGTAATTATACAATAGTTGTACTTAAATAAACATAAATTATTTTAATGGATAAATCCATCTCTAAAATACTTACATGGAATGATTCGTAAAGAGTTAAACTTACTTGTTAGTGTATGCATTTTTAATTTATTCTTTATCTTACTTCAAATATAGTTAAACAATTTATTCATAATTATTTAACCACTTAAAAGGTGTTTTTGGACTAATAAACAAATTGTTAATTAGTCCAAAAACCCTTTTAGGTGGTTAAATAAGTCAATTCAATTAAACATTCTAGCAAAGCTATCGACTATTTTGACACTTATTTTAATAATTCATATTTAAATTTTCTCTTAAATATTCGGCATTTATAAAACATAAGAAATAATTTGTACATCTCAGAAGACGTTTACCTATAAACATAGGCCCTATATTTTATCGCAAAACTAAAGGTTAACATAGTATATACTTTACTGTGAAACATATTGATAGTAAGTATTAAGTATGTAAACTTCTATATACATATTGTTATAATGATATATTTAACCCATATTTTTATATATGTTGTAATATAGTAATTTTGAATATGTAATATCACTATTTTAAATAATGTTAAGTATTAACTGAATAGTTTAAATTTCTGCAATAATAAAAAAAAAAACTTTATTCTTTAAATGCAAAAACAAAATTGCTGACTAAATATAGAGGCTTTATTCTGAAAGTTACTTGATGCTTTATTAAAGCATTCACAGAGAATACTTCTTTTTGACAAATGAACAATGAGTTTATTAATAGAGAATAAATGAAACGTTTAAAATAACTTAAAATAATGCGCTTTATATTAAAATTTAAAAAAAATTAAATAACATTAATTACTTTATTTTATAAGTTGAATATAATTCTTAATTATGTTTTAATTTGCAAATGACAATTAAAAATTCCTTATTTAAATTACGTTCTATAAGCATTATTATCTTTTCATTTTTCCCATATAAATTGTATATGCTTAAGTAATAAATTAATTAATAAAAAAAAGTATTTTTTATCTTTTGTAAATGAATAAAAATAAAATATTCTATTCTAATGAAAAAATAAATTTAAAAAATATATAAAAATTCTTATAAATATATGTTTTATAATTCATAAATTTTAGTAATCGTTTATTTTATTATTTTTTTCTTTGTTTTTAATTTTTTGTGTACATTGTTTGGGTGTGGGGAGGAAATCTGTTGTTCTAGGACATTTCTTAATTGTAAATAAAATAAAATAAATTATTTTATAAAAGATTAAGAAGATTTTAATTTTAGATAAATTGAAAGAATTGGAACAATAATCAATAGTATTGACCGAAAGTAAAAGAGAATGTAGTTGAGTTAAATCAATAGTGTTATCACAACTAACTGGTAAGAAAATGAGACTGGTAAGAAATTGTTGAGAGACTTTTATATAATAGCATTATTTTTTCAGTTTCATAACCAAATCTGGTACAAAATTTGGTGTGATCTAATATAAACGATGTTGATTTATATTAAAAATGAATTTATTCGTAATTCGATTCTTTTTATAATGGGAATCTGTTAATACGTTTAAATAAATATAATAACATTTCTTATAAACATATTTGGAACATACACATTGTAGTATTCGAGATATCTCTCTGTCCGAATATTTTTAAAATATAAAATTATACAAAGTATATTAATCTTATATCTAATGATTTAATTATACGGATTCATTTTATTTATTTATTTAATTTTGTTTGAATATTAATCGTAAATAAGATTTATATCGAATAAGAATCAATAGTATCTGAAGATATTCGTGAAGCTATTAACTACTAATAACTTATAGAAATTACGAAGCCAAAATCATGACATTGGGATAATCATAATATACTCTGCGTGTGGAATACATGGATTTATACAACTTCAACAAGAAAGCGCACAGAAAAAAGATGAATACCTTCGTTGCTTTTATTTATACTTTATTACATTAAATTACGTCTAGGTAACTATTTTCATATTACTGTTTTTATTATTTTGAAAGCATTTAAACATAACCTACAACTGGCTGATTAACCTAAAATTATAATTTGAAATTTTAATTATTGTCAATCTGTGTCTATTGGAGAATTATCGAATGCAAGTAGTGTTAGTAAAAAGTTGTTAAGGCGTCGAAAATGTGCAAAACCCACATCGTTTAAACTTTATTTTAACGTTTCCTTTTTCCATCATTATCTTTCCGGAAAATGGCTGTTTGCAGCCCTGACATACGAGGGCACGGGCTTTCTTGAACGTACCGCTGTACTATCAATGTTCTTCGTACACTACTAGGGATAACAGACTATCATACGAGATCAGCATTGGTCTGGTCTACTTCCCAGACCAAACTCACTAGCAGTGGGAGAAACGTGCTTCACGGACAATTGAAGTGCTTAACAGTAGTCTTCCACACTCTAACAGTGATCGTACGTTCACAAACATAACCAGGATTTGTTGCTAAAGATGATACTCTGCCAATTCGCATTAGTCCGTGCGTTTCTGAAACGGCACTACTGAAAATAAAACAGACAATGATCAGGTGCTAACGACAGACACGTAACAATCGCCATTATCACGCCAACATCATCAACATCAATAGAAACAAACAACTCATGGCAAATATCGGAAAATGGCTGAATGCAATTCAAATTCATTACAGTTAACCGCCTTCTAATGGTATGGGAAAAGACGGGGTTCTGTAGCGAGGCTTGAACCAATCTTCGGATGGTAGAAAAATACGCCATTGAAGCTGTTCGTTCTTGTGTCACGATCAGACGATCATTTTTCCTGGTTGTCTATTTGAATGTCCAGCACTAGCCAGTTGTGTATGTATCTCACGCATCCACTGCCTCTAATATCTAGTCACAGTCAGATCAGAATGGCCCAGATGACGAGTAATTCAGTAGTGCGCATGGGGTCCAAGCAAATTTGAATTAGAGGACCTCATGTACAGTACAATGTTGACTTCAGACATTTTTTTAAGGGGGATTTTTTGGGGAAATATTTTCTTATAAAAGATTGGTTGGAACCCTTATTGGTGGGGGCACTAGGCAATTGTTACTTTTGCCCATAGGATTGATCCGGTGAAACGACTATCAAATGTTGCAAGTTTTGTCAAATTCCGTTAGCTGTGCGTAATGACTATGACTCCTGCAGACATGACTGGTGTTTGAAAACCTCCAAACAACTGAAAATTTTAAATACAGTAAACCTGGGTCTTTTCATGAGATACTGAGTAACAATTTTAAATACCTGTAGTTGTGTTACCTGATGTGCAATCAGATCAAAGTATAATAATTTAAATTCTTGTATGAGACATAGAATTATCCCATTACTACAAAATTCAGCATACAGCTATGTGGGCGCGTAACGTTTTTTGGTCAATGAGTGTAACCTACAACATTCATTAAAAAGATCACATGAATGTTTATTTAATGAAACAGAATTTTAAACATTCTTAAAATACTAACTGATCATTGGTGAATATCCAAATTCGAATCCGATCATTCTCGTCCCTGCCAGAAGCCAAGTGGATGAAGTCATTGAACATGGATAGTGCGACGCGGGTTCAGGCCCGACAATCGGGATGACCGCGGAGAGTTTTTCGGGTTTTTTTCACGTATTAATACCTAAACAGGGACAAGTTTTCCACAGAAAGTCCCCCCGAAAAGCTTCACTTAACATGCTTTGCTTTGCCTTTCCCATCAATCTAATCTGATCCTCTTTTCCATAATTTATCATGTTTTACGTCCTTCACTCGTTCTGATCGATTTCATTATGAGAACAACGATTAAAGTTAAAATTGATCAAGAACTATGCCAAATAATAATGTGCCAAGAAAGACATTCTTCACTTTCGATCTTGTTCATTGAAATACTGCAGAACTGGACTTTCCTTGTAATTGATGAACTCATTGTTTCTGAAAACAGATGAGAATTTCCGTAGATGAATGTCTGTAAAGGTACAGTACAATACATACATTGAATATTCTAATTATTTATAAATTTATTGTAAACATTTTTATTACTTTATTGTGTGTTTTACAGTTTGTTTCTATATTAAAAATGCTCGTATTATTGTAGACCTAAATAAATCTATCTCCATCGTCCTTTTAATTTGCTTCAAAAATAAATTTTTCTTAGGGCCTCACAAATCCTAGGGCTACCCCAGGAAGGAAGATTAAATATCTATTGTAACATCACTTACTAAACTTGAATTTACGATAACTCTTGTGAGTATACTGTATACAATAAATAAACGATTATAATCAATTTAGAATTTTCAGTAAAAACTGATATAAAATCTGAAACAGTTACTTTTGTACTGATTTGAATAATTTACACATCTGTTCAATAATTAACAATAATTGATCACTGCATTAAAAGTATATTGATAAGTTTACTGTAAACTCGTGCGTTAAAGTGTAATGCTTTTGGAGGCTTTAGGACTGTTTTGTCTCATAAATCTTACATTTTCTCACCTCATATTTATTATCTTTGCGATTTTATCTTCTCTAGTACATATACGAAACCTAATATAGTAGTTACTATATTAGATTCCATGTGTACTGTACTAGAGAAGATAAAATCTCTTACATAAAAATTGTCTTAAATTCAAACTGATGACAAAAAAATTTTAAAAATTTAAACTTTTCTTGCGTAAAAAGTGAAAACATCGGTGTTTATCGATGTTTGTCATGAAATATTTCTTTTGGAATGAGTGTAACTAAAATGACACATACTATTGGGCGTATATTGAGAGAAAATGAAAAGTTGTAAAACATAAATTCGATATTCCATTGTAATAGTAAAAAATAAAAAAAATAAAAATACTAAAAATATATTTTTCATGTTTATACAACTGCATTTATTAAAATTTGTAGAGATTAATCAATAAAAAAAATAATAGTAATAAAATTATTTACATTTTATAACTAAAGTAATAAATTAGAAAGTGAATACCAATAAATATTTATAAGTAAATTTTTATGTTGAATTAAAGAAAATAAAATTATCTTATTACGAAAAAATTGAATGGATATGAATGAACAAATGTCTTTCTTTGTATGAGTGACATGATTTAAAATTTACTTTGGCCATTTTTTTAAATTATTATTAAAAACCTTTCTTAGAAAACAAACTTTCTAATTAAATGTAAGTTTACTCTCAATTGGAATTTGTATGAATTGCTTTTGTTACATATGATATTGGAGTTTGAACGAGATTACTTTATAATAATTAAGACCTATATCAGATAATTTTTCTCTTGAACTAGATAAAAGTAATTCCACTAGTTACAATTAAAAAGGAAGGAAAAAAAAAGCTGGATTAGTAGTTTATCTGATAAGCATAAATTCAATAGACATTCGAGTGTATATTGTCGACTTTAAAAAGGAATAACCTCGTGTACATAAATAAACGATATAATAAATGACGTTCAATTTGAGTTCAGAGTAAAGATGTTTGAATGAATAATTTAAGGAAGGAAAGTCTTTTAGGAAAATGAAAAGTTTTAAAATTTTTATGTTATTTCTTAGGAAAGGATAAAAAGATTTTTTAAAAGAATTTACGATTATTTTATGAGTAGAAATATACATTAAACAATGATCGAGGAAGTTTTAAATTGATTAATAGAAGTTTATAAAAAATATATAATAATTTTAACTTAAAATTAATTTATTAATTTTTAAGTTAAAGTTTAAATTCATAGAATAAATTTGTAATTTTCATAACTGAACATTTCTGAATTATAATTTATGTGAAATCTTCACTCAACCGTGATTGATGTTAGTGTATATGGATGTGCATTTCTTATATTCTACTATTTATAAAATAGAAGAAGTGCACTTCACTAAAAACTTATTAAAACGAACAACTAATTGACGTACTTCTTTTCAAGTTTTTTTTTCAAATATTGGAACAATTCTTTTCCTGTTTATACAACGAAAATCACGTGATCATTAATCAAGTTATTGAGACTGAATGGTTATGTCATTGTATGATTCCGCCTCGGGAAGAAGTTTCCTGCTTCGATATAATTACAGGACATCGCCCTTTTCAGTACCTACAATCACATGCCACCTTTGGCTCTGATTTAAGTTTGATTTGATTTGACTTTTTTCCCCCCCTCATTAAGTATCAATAAATTGAACCACAGAATAGGATTTCGGAAAAATTACTAAATAATTATTACAAATTTATATCCTGTAGTCTCTTACATTCAAAACTATGTATAAAATGTAGAATCTTTTTTTCTCATAACAATCATTTTTATTAATTTATTACAAAATTTTTATATAAATAGTTCATATTTCATTTTATTTTATTAATAATTATAGTTTTTTTTTTCTTAATAGAAAATGAATTAATCAGTTCTTAAATAATTCAAATCAAATGGAAATTGAAAATGCATTCTTCAGTATAAAAGAAACTAAAAATTTTTTAAATATTAAGTTATCTTTATTATGCTTATTACAATGTATCATGACAAGTATTGCACGTTATATAGGCGTGGTTAGGAAGCACATAAATGTTTACATGACCTTTGTAATGCTCTTACTCATTCTATATTTCCGTTTATTTATATAGGAAATTATTCATTTCACACTTTATATCAGGTCTAAATTGTTAGGGATTTAGTCATTTAAATACCATAAAACCTAAATCAAATATCTTATCAATTCTCTACTATAATATCCTGTTAGTCCAAGTTTGTACCAGATTGTTTCCGTTAAAAACAAATATGTGTCAGTAAAATTTTGGTCATTCTTCCAGGCAGTCCGACATCACTAATTAAACTATCCTAGTCTTATAGTTACATAATAAATGTATACAAATCTTTAACGAGGACGCATATTAAAAAAAAAAAACAAAACAAAAGAAAAACAGAACATCTTTGATTTCTTTAAAGTTTAAGTTTATAGGAAAAAAATTCGGAAATCTGAAAATTACTGAGATAATATATTAGAAAGGAAATAACATAAATCATTAATAATCTTTAAAAACTGTAAAAATAATAAATTAATATTGAAAAATATCAGAAAAAATAGAGCTCATTTCTATTGCCTAGATTATTATCAAGTCAAATCCCACGATCTAGTGTCAACCTCGCGAGGATACAAAACCGTGTTAATGGCTCACTGGTGTAAAAGCTAAAAAGTACAGTACATAATAGCTAGAAGCATATATTAGTTAAGGATGATTGAATTCCTTAGAGGAGAAACACAATAAGTTGTAAATTTTTAAATTAAGGGAGAAAAAAAAATTTTGAATTAAGATATTAATGTAATCAATTATGCATTTATTAACAATAAACTTTCCTTTTCTTCTTAATAAAAATTAAAAAAAAATTACATTGTGTATACACTTCCTTTAAAGAACAATTGAGGGAAATTATTTATGGTTAAACAATTATTTGATGTAGTAAAATTATTAATACAAACTTTTCTGTTATGAAAAATTTATCTTGTCGAAATTTATAAATAACAATTTTATATATTAAATAAGGATAGATTTAATAAGCTTAAATGCTTTAAAAATACATTTTTTTATCTGAAATTCTACTTTCTATTTATAAAAGTAAAATGAAGAAATTAAGGAAAAATTTTCCTTTTCAAATTTCTAATTCTTTGATCAAGCATTACTTTGACCTCATATTAATAGGGTAACTGCAGATGTAAGAAATTTCTTTCGTTGCGGTAATCGCTCTTTGAAATCATAACTATGTTTTATTATGTTTTTTTTTTTTATTTATTAATGAATTATTTTTCACATCATTAACAAAAGCTGACAAAATCTTGAAAATTATATCATAGATTAATCGCATTTTTATAATAAGTAAGTCAATGTAGACTACCGCGAGTTTAAAAAAAAAGGAATAAATATACATTTATTAATACATATAAATAATAAAAGATACTGTGGCACAAAGCCCCTTTCTAGTATCATACGGAGGAAAAACGTTAAGGAAGAAAATAAAATAAAAATTCAAATATATTATATTGACTTGATTCTGTTCAAATTAGATTAGTAGATTACAGTTCGCACGTTTAATGTTTTCAGATAAATATTCTTTTAAAATTATAATATTGAGGAAGTAAAAAAGTCTACGAAAATAATAAATAAAGGTCATAAAGGAAAAAGTGTCGTAATGACACTTCAGGGGGTGCCATGACATACAGTGATGAGCAGTGTCATAACGCTACTTACTTGTATTATTAAAAGTCATTGTATAGTCATATGTAATTAGAATTATAAATTATTTAATACATTTGTAATCATTTTGTTGAAAAATGCGTCTACTATATACAATTTAAACTGACTATATACATATTAAAATATATGTAAAAAAATAGGGGTGCCGCAAGAAAAAATGATCAAGTTGGGGTTCCACTATTAGAAAAAGGTTGTAAAACACTACACTAAATCATTTCAACAGCTTAATTTGGTCATATACAGTATATTTCGCAATTGGTCACAATAGTAAACAGGATGAGGAAACAATGCCCCCAAACAATAGTAATTGATGCATCATCATCATTAACATTAGTGTGATAAAAATATAATTTCAACATAACCACTGATAATATTTAATTTATATATAAAAATATAGGATTTAAGCGGTTCTGTATATACTAGATTAAATTTTAAAAAGATATAAGTTATATATTTAATTATTTGAATTCACATATTTCATTGTTTAACAGTTACTTTAAGAACAACTAGAGTATTGTAATAATTCGATTATAATAGAATACTTTCAATATAATCTAACACAAACAGTTAGCTATAATTTACGGTATTTTGCTAAATAGTTGCTCTATTCTAAAGTATACTATAATATTAAAAATATCTGCTACCAAATGTGCTAATGGCTTAAATTTATTAAGTACAGATTAAAAATAAACGTTTTAAATGTTTTAAATTCATATTATTTATCCTTAATCTGCATTTTATGTTT